TATACATGAAGTTGACCTCTTGCATAAACAGTTCTACCATTTGTGTACAAAACAAACATTGCGCCCTAAGGCGCTGCTGACGAAGATGCACTCCCAATGCTCTGGAAAAACCATCAATGTTCTGTGTTTATTTTGAGATAATGCCAGACACGTCAGTGTGCTGATAAACATGTACGACTGCATTTTCATAGATTTGTTTACTAGTGCTTGTATTATCTTCACAGTGATTAATCTCTATAAATATTTTTTCCCTGAAGTGTTTTTCATTATTTCATGGCCTAGCGTGGCAATTCCTGGAACGTTCCTGGAAAAGTCTGAATGCATAGTATGCTCTGTCACCTGACATAGTCATAAAGACACGTGGGCTCTATGGAGATGGGGTCTGACTGCAGCCGGAACATCTTGCTGCAACTATTAAAGGTGACCTAGTATCATATATATTTTTCATGTTCTGAACATTATTATTATTCTGCATTGATGTTAATGCATTACTGGGATTTGTAGTCCTCTATAGCCGGTTGCCATTCGGCATTGCTGTATAATGAATTGCTGGGATTTGCAGTCCTCTATAGCCGGTTGCCATTTGACATTGCTGCATAATGTATTGCTGGGATTTATAGTCCTCTATAGCTGATGGTTTTCTGAACTGCTCTATAATATATTGCTGAGATTTGTAGTCCTCTATGGCCGGTTGTCATTCGGCATTGATGAATAATGTATTGATGGGATTTGTAGTCCTCTATAACTAATAGAGCAAAATGTGGCATTAAAGTGCAATGTCACCCTACAACTAACCAATTTATCCTAATCAGTCACATACTACATTTACCTTCACAAATCTATTATGCCCTGTTTCTGTCTGTGCTCCGGTTTTTCAGATATCAGCCTTCAAAGCTACTATCAGCAACATCAAGCAACGCATGGTGTCACTCAGACACCCCCCCTCCCTCCCCTACACACACACACACACACTTCATCTTGGCAGGATAAGGGCAAAGATGTAGTTTCCCAGTTAGTAAATGAACTACGTTTTCTGGTATTGGTGATGGACGTTCATTTCAGGCAAAGACTATGATGTCATGTGCCCGCCTACCACCTAATCGCGGACTCAAATACAGAATGCTAAAAAAGAATATAGAATGCGCAAGGCTGGTAACTTCACTTGTCTGCATAGATGGTTGCTTGTCATTTGATTTGATTACTGTGGCATTGTATTTCTATTTTAGCATGTATGAACCTTCTACAAGATGCACTTTGTTCTACCTCTGCACATGACTACTGTATCAACATAGTAACAAAGTGATTGCAAAAGTACCCATGTGAATTGTATTAAAAGATTTGGGTCTTACCTGGTACTCCGTTACATTCTCCACAGTAAAGTTAAACCAGACACGAAAGCGCGGGTTACATGTATCAGGTCTGATGAACAGGTCAAACTCAAACTCTGTGATGTAGTCTACTCTGCCAAGATTGCCTGTTAAAGGAAAAAAAAGTATTAAGCCAGGTAGTTCATACCATTCAGCTGAAAACTACTAGTATGACAAGACCGTGGCTAGGTAATTAGCACTCTACCCTTGCAGCACTGAATTCTTCCATTCAATTCCTCCCATGTACAGCATATGTTGTGGTGCACTGTGTTGCCAAAAACGGTAAGGTCTGCTTTTATGCCACGCGTTAATCTACATTGCCTTAACAAAATTCAGATTAATGCATGACAGAACACGCATGTACATGCTTGCAATATTGCGCCACAGCACACCAGAAAGAAGCAAAAGATCGCTATAGGTTTTGTCCATGTTCATGCGTGTTTTCTCTCACCGAACCAAAATACAAACACACAGGCTAATCAAACTGGCCATAGTTGGACATTAAACATCTCTGGGAAAAGACTGATGTAAATAGTTTGATATATACATATGTATATATATATATATATACACATGTACATTATATATATATATATATATATATATTTTGTCCCCTATCCCTCGTATGTATACAGAGAGAATAAAGCTGTAGAGGTGGCCGAGAGCAGCCTTATTAAAAAGCCAGCCCAGTGCTTTAGAGGAGAGTTGTGGGTGTGCAAGAGGCACACAAGGACAGGCAGACTCTGCTGCGTGCGTGAGCACAAGGGACACAGCCAGGAAGGCTGGAAAGGTCCAGAGGATCCGTGACCCTGAGATACCTGTCGGGGAGACAGAGAGGGACAGTGACCCACGAGGGGTGGATACTGAACCGCTTGGAGCTGAGGAAAGCTGCTGAGCAGTGCTGAGGACTGTATTCACAGAGAAATACGGTAAAGTCCTGGGACTATCACACGGGGAGTGTATGGGACAGACAGATGTCGGTGAGACCAACCACAATGTCTTGATGAGACTCCTGAATGAACTGTTATGCTTAATTTATGCTGAATAAAGACTGTCCTTTTATGTTAAAGTCGGCTTCAGGAGTGGTCACTTAGCGCTTACCATTGTGCTATATTCCCCAAACTATCACAATATATATATATAAAAATCTCAAAAGAGAGTAAGAGTGTAAACAACAACAAATTTAAAACCATATAACAATCACCCAAAACCATTATAATTTTTCTTACAGAGCAGTGCTGGTAATCAAGGGACATCCATCAGATGTAGAGATTTTTCAAGATAAAGTACATGCTGTTATGTTTTTAAAGTGTCTCTGCACCCAGACTATGAACATCAAATGATTTACATATTCTGGACATACGGTAAAAGAGCTTTAAGACAAGCCACCACTGACCTCTGTAGCCAAATGTACTATAAAGTAGTTCATTCTCAAACATCCTCAAAGATCACAACAAAGACTCTAACCTTATTTTCAGGCAACTCTAACCTTATTTTCAGTCAGATTCTAACAGCTTAGAAACACCTTGTCAGGTTTTCTTACCTGTTTTTGTCCACTTGAGCTGCAGCTTCAGCTTCTGTGCAGTGTTTCTGACACTGACTCTTGGTCCTAGGCGCCCTCTTATGACCAAACCCATAAACTTCATCAGTCTGCGACTACTAGCAAACTCCTGGCAATTTCCTGCCTCGTACTGATGATGCAACTCCAGTTCACTATAAAATCATCAGTCTTTTCACTTGGTTTCTGCCCTTGCGTTTGTTCAGACTTACCAAGTGCTCCCTGCTAGTTCCTGTGCTCAGTGTATGATCCTGGCTCTGTCTACCGATCTCCTGGTTCCAAACTCAGGCTATTGTACTCATTCATCCTGCTCTCTGCGTTCTGAGACCTGGCTCAGCTGACTACCCACGTTGGCTTCTGGCCTCTGGCTCGGCTCTGACTTGGTCTTGGATTAACCTATTGTTTTGTTTAGGGATGCACAGATACTTTTCGAGTACCAGTGCAGATACTTGGCATTTTCATGAGAACTACCAGGGTTGCAGCGGGGACCTGGCTATGGCACTTCCCCACTGTCCTGAAATCATTAGTCTGTATTGTTTTAGAAAAACTGTCACATGACAATAAACAAAAATGTATCAGTACTCGTACTTGTAAGTACTCAGCCAGTACCAGTACTCGTACTCGCAAAACTGGTATCTGTGCATCGCTTTATTTATATTTATAAAAACAAAATCATAAATTAAAACAGAGATGTACAAATCCCAGGAGCTCCGTGTGCTCCTTACAAATGACAGCTGACTCCTAATTTTTGAATTTTTCTCTAGTCTAGTCTTGGAGCTCAAAAGTATCGGTACATGTACTCGTACTTGTACCAAGTACTGTACTTGGTATCTGTGCAACCCTAGTTTTGTTATTTTGTTAATTGTCGCTTTCAATAAACTTTATTTCTTAACCTGCACTTTTAATTTCTGTCTGGTTTATTGGTTCCCTGACACACCTGCTGGTTGTTTACATTAGGGGGGTTTCAGGCTGCCTAGATTCTGCCACAATATAAAGTAATAGGATAAAACAAAGATTTCTATACCTTTGTTGTGAACTTTGAAGACACATTTATCCGCAATGCCTATAGCTAGAGAGATGATTGAGGGCTTGTTTATAAGTGCTTTGACTGCTTGTTCAATATATGTAAATACTTTACTGTGCATAGCCTAGGCACAGGTTCACATTAAATTGTTTGAAAATGAAAAGGAAATTTACTGTTTTGATATTATTCAAACTATGCAATGCCGACTATTGCATTTCTTATATAGCTTTGTTGACTACAACATCGTATATTTATACTTGTTTATACCTATACCATACCATCCTTATTTAAGCTAAATAACATTTTTTTTGTAGAAGTAAACTAAAAACCTTTAGTGTTCTGGTTCTTGCTGCAACTCACAGTTAAAAAGAGAATTTGCATGTATGCCTGGAATTATGTAAATCTACTTGGGATGTTTACAGAAAGTGATGTTCTCCTTTAAATAAACACAACCTAAAATGAGAGCTTGTAACATCAGACTTGGAGAGCCGGAGGAATATGACAGCTTCCTTTGTATTCCTGAGAATAAATGGTTATGTCTGATAAACCGGCTTATTTTAGACCAATATTCTTGACTTTCATTTTCAGCAAATAGCTTCTATAAAATATAATTATCACTTGGTCATCCTCATTAAACGTGTGATTGAAGTTAATGCTTTGGCTATGTGCATTTCATTGAATAAAGGCACATTCTGTAATGTTGATTTGCAAAAGGATCCTGGCGAGAAATAAAGTAAATTTATTGTGATTTTCCAGCACAATTTTATATTCAGGAAAGTTACAGCAGAACTGAGCGAAAAAAAAATAAAAGTAGTTGAGTAAAAGGAAGCTGCTCTTTCATTTGAAAAGAAACTTGCATATGTTTAGTTGTTATTTTTGTGATGTTAATACAGTATTTAAGAGTTTATTTTGTCATATACCATGTGGCTAAAAGTGTGTGGACCATCTGACACCAATTTGACCTTGTTAGACGTTAGTATTAATATGAAGTTACCCTCCACCATTGCAGTTATACGATCCTCCACTCTTCTGGGAAGGCTTTCCACAAGATGTTGGCATGTGTCTATGAATGTTTGCACCCATGCAGCCAAAACAGCATTTGTAAGGTCAGGCACAGATGTTGGATTAGAAGACTTGACTCACAAATGGCGTTCTAATTCATCTTTGGTAAGCCTTAAAGCTGCACATGAAGTTACAGAACAGTATGGAAAAAATGGCATGGGGTTCCTCCTAAAATTGAAAACAGACCTTTATTCAGGCATGCAGCAGGGAGGGAAGTGAGCGTGTAGTCCCCACTTCCTGAACCACACCAGCAAAGTTACCTTTCAAGATGGGGGTGGGCGCAAAAGTCTTCCTCCGTTTGCCAGGCACCTTATTTCAAGGACATCTTCCCCACATCTGCTACGCAAGAGGATATGATGGATTGCAGGGGGGATTTATAGGAGTCTGGAAGCTTTTTAAAAAAATAATGACCCAGATATCCTGTCCCCCAAATGGAATTAGTACGGTGTACATTAGTACTCCCTATTATTCATTCCCCCAAAAAGTAAAATGTAAATAAACACACAAACACATTGTGAAAAGCCTTTTAATAAAGATTGCAATTAAAAAAATTAAATAAATGACCCCAAGATGCAAATCCATCAATCCATTAATCACATTGTCCAATGATGTAGATCCATTGCCACATCAACCTGTTGCCTGACAATGTTGCCCCATCACTCTACCACCACTAAATGACAATCAGATATCTCCCTGCTTTTTGCAAACTAACCATATTTGGTCAATAATGTCAACTAGGATTAGGGATAAGCTTCAGGTTGCATAGACCATTAGTTTGACCAGAACCCAAGATTACTTTATGGGACATCGAACAGGAAAGAGTCTTATCATGAGCAATGCAGAATGGAGAATTTGCCATAAATCTCCTGACCCCACCTCACAGCCTCATCCTTGACCAGGCAGGCTTCCATTCCACAGCAGCTGGAGCCCCCATCACCCCCATGCCCAGCATCTCAATGCCAACATGGCAAATGTGCTGGCTTTATAGCTGCTCTAATATTAGCTGGTGGAGTCTGACACTTTCCATGACTTTGTGGCCTGTGATGCACAATAATAATCCATAATCTAATAAATCTAAAGGATAACAAAGGAATATACACAGAGAGCTAACACTTTTTGTGAGCCTACTTTAAAAAAGAACTTCATCAGTTGCAAACTACACTGCAACAAGCAACTTGCAAAAAAATAAACACTTTGGTCAGGTCTGTGCAATGTACTACAAAGCATGTAGAGCAGTCAGGGCAATGCAATGTACAACATACTGGAGGTGCAGAATGCAGCAGTAAGAAGTATGTATCACAGGATTGGTATGACTTTATTTTTATTTTTAACTTGGGGTCCCTCCTAAAATTCCTACCAGACCTAAGGGGTCTGGTATGACTTTTTGGGGGAACCCCATGCTTTTTATTTTCAAATGGGATCCATTCTAACTTTTCTACCAGACCTAAAGTGTCTGGTATGGT